CAACCACTTTGAGCCAGTTTCGAAACCAACTAATAAATCTTTGTCGCTGTTTATTTTGCCGAAAAGTCCTCACTAATTGGAGCATACAACAGACTACATCGTAATTATATTTAAAAACTCATTGCGACCGTAATTAAATAACGTATTACACAATATATGAGCGTAATGACCATAATATATAATGCTAAGTGCGATTTACGTTCCGTTGAAAAAGGTTTGTTCTTAATTCAAATTACCGCGCGGAAACGTCTACCTTTAGATACCACAGATACTACATTCTAGACTGGTGATATGGTTATTTTAGCATGGCATATGTAACATAGTATTTTTATATTAATGACGTCTGAAAACATTGAAGTATCACCGATTGCAGTTTCTTTTGACCTATAAATAGATAATTAAGCTATTTTCTGTGTAAGAAGTCTATTGACAGTAATATGGTCCACAGTTTATAAACATCCTGTTCACACCGGAAACAATTGGTGTATATTTACGTCAAATCAATCCACTTGGTACGAGTTTGATTTTCTGGCTTTGTGTTAGTCCCGTGCCATTAGGATGTTGGCTCGCTGCCAGTTACCTACGAGGTGCTATTCGTGAGCTCAACATTTAAGGAAGTGTTGAGTCCCGGAATAGAAACGTAACGGAATCACGAACTTTTTATTAAAGCATCTTGGAGTTAAGAATATAAATTAGAATCTATTCGAAGAGAGTAGCAGTATTATAATGGAATTTTATTTATATACAATCTTTTGCCTCTCAAGGTATCTCTTAATAACCCTTTCACGGGTTATAAGAATAGTTAGTTTTTTATGAACTCCGACGTACCCCCACAGACTATGTATAAAAATTATATATTTAGAATAAATCTAATATTTTTGACCAATAATTGTTAAAAAAACGATAGATATTGTTTAAATTTCGAATATCATTCCTAATGTAACACGTACCTACTATGTAATTTCGCAAAGCGATATTGACCGACTAACTTTGGAGGACGACGATGTTTACACTCTGATGGCGAAAATCGCACATCAGATGAATATTAAAACGATTTACTCACAAAGCGGTTGAACATTACTAATCTTGCAACATGTAATCTAATTTTCACAACAAATAAATAACATAGTTACACTGTTGCTGCTTAAAGGCCTTTAATATAAGAACTACATATGTGAAAACTGAATGAAGTGCTTATGTTTATCTAGTTTATTGGAAAATTCTTCTTTGAACATAATGGTATGTTAATATTGACAATTGGCATTGCTAGTTTTCGCGGCAATTACTGTTTCGCGCTGACCGATGCAAACCGGTCAATTATCATTACTCTGTGCAAGTCAACTGTCACATGACACGTGAGATATGAGGGCGTCCACGCTCTCAGTGTGTCATTCGCCGACCTACACGGACCTCTATAGTCTATATCTATATTATCTGGGCCACTGAACAAGCACACTTCTTGATTGACATACGAAACTGCTGCTGCGTTTAAAAGTTTCACTTGAATTTTAACGAGTTATACAAAAAATTTACGAAGTCAACTGTTTTTATTTCCCGTTTTGAACAGTAACGTTAACTTATAGATAATTAATTATACAGCTATATTGGTTAATTAAAGTATTTTATATTCAAATGGGAAAAAGCAAAACAAAAATCAAATATAAATAAATATTCATCTTCATTATTATGAATATGTATTATTAAACAATAACTTTAGTTTTGAGATGTTGATTTTATTAAAAAAAATAATTTAACATATATTTATAGACTTTATCTTCACCGTCTATTGTAGTGTAGCATAAGGCCATCAGCTAGAAAATAAATACGGCATTCCATTTTCCTTCACCTCGTCATTAAAGTTGTTTTAAATTCTCGATGTGTGATGGATCAGTTTCTGAACATACCGAGAGTTACTTTTAATGATGTTTACGCTAGTAACACAATTAACAGGAAATATATTTGAATTAAATGTAACATTACGCTTATTTTTACGTTAAATTCATCCCTCAATCGGGTCTTCGGAAGTCGGTTAAAATGTATTGTCGAATATTGTGGCCAAAGCACGTATGGCGGGGGTTTCATTACTTCAATAAATTTAAAATAAAAAGTAAAATATTAGAGTTGTTACTTTATTACTTTGGGTTCTCGAAAATTATTAATAAAATCTTTAAAGTGGGTGAACTGGTCTGCCACGCCGATATTTTGGGTCTATCACATGCTGCTTTCCTCACGTTCTTCTTCAATTAAATGAGCAAGTGTTAACTGCGCATATAGAAAAATCCATTGCACAACCTCAATACAGGCACCTCGTTTTAATTTTGTAGTTATAACCCCCAGATAGGCTACCTTTTGGTAATGCAATTGTAATGTGTAATTGCAGAATATGGAAATATCCAGCGAAGAAATAGTTGAGTAACGTAACCCAAATGTTTGAGAGTGCAAGGTCAAATTCAAACAAGAAGTGTTTAGTATAATGAGCGCATTTGAATATTTATAACTAAGATCTAGGTCCAATACGATTTTGCATATAATTATTTATGCAACAAGCGTTTCATTCAAATTAAGATTATTTAATTAGTCAATTGTTGTTTGTATTTGATTTTTATTTTAACGCATTTTTCGAAGTCTGTTTATAAAATTTGAGATATAATATTTACATCGGTTTTTTAAGTTACATATAAAATTACGATAACAAACACCTGTAACCTCGCAGCACCAACATATTCAAAAAGAGGGACCCGACTTAATATGATTCTCGCTTATGTTACATTATATTATTATTCTGTAGAAAAAAAATAATACGCTTTCCTACTTAAGACACGTATACCTACATACACCAAGTACTACGTCCTGTCAATTGTTTTTAAAAATATAGTAATGTAACTTTCGAATTCAGTATTTTTATTCATTCATTGCATACAATTTATTTCACTACAATATTAGATTAATAAATTCAAAAGAAACTGGTTACTTTTCAATAAACCAGATCCGACGCCATGCACTATTACCAAAACCAGTTTTTTAACTTCCTATTGAAGTTCAATTAAGGAATTTTCTTATTTACGCTTTCTTAAATCAATGTTTGTCATTGGGATATTAAACAAATCATTAAGATAACGTTCTAAATAAATTAAAAAATATTTTCTGTATGTTATGGGCAAATTCATTCCATATCATATGGAACAACGTGGTTGCTACAAGCATATTGTAAAACAATATATTAGGTCAATCAAGAGTGACATAGTTTCTTGCCGGTTCTCCACAGTTTTATGCCCTTGAGAACTGGCTATATACTTATGTCAATTGTCGGTAATGAGTCTACAAAAGGCGACCTCATGAAAAAATAAATATTTCTTAACTTATATATTCCTATAAAACACGTTCAGTTGCAACTGGGTTATTATTAATACTTACATTATACAAATGTAAATACTTGTAACATCTTCAATTACTCAACTAATTCTAGTCTTACCTTATTGTAATTTATTAGGAAACATTTAGCCTTGTATCGTAAATGTGTAGACAATGGACAAACAAGGCCAAAATAACTGGTTACCATTACCAAGTAACCGTAGCATTTTAATAGTCTACAAAAAGAAACGTTAACTTAAACTTTCACCTATTGGTGCGTTATTCGCTTCGCTGATAATCGAGAGATTCAAAAATAATCGAAGTTATTTAATTATTTTACAGAGGCACACTAACGAAACACATACAGATACAGAGAACACACGACATATAAAAATCACAATGCATACATTAATGACAAGTATATAGCACAACATTATAAAAAAATTACAATTATAACAAAAAATATTATACAATAAAAACAAACGATTATTAAATCAAATTTGCAATTTAATATATTTCTTTTGCGCAATTGTTATTGGTGACGGAACAATGACTGCAGAATCTTACGCCTAAGACATGGAGACTATCATAAAAAAGACATTGAGAGATTTGTGTATGAACAAATCATCGACAACGTCACTCAAGTAACCGCGCTCGCCCCAGCTGGGGTATCTGAAGCATCTGAGCTTCTGAATGATGCTGGCTAAATTAGCAAGTGAAAGCTAGCCAAATGGACACCTGCTTTTTACTTGCAAAGGAGTGTATATTTATATAACTGATCACACGTAAACACCATATGTATTTGAAATTACGGCTTTCCCCTTAACATAAATACATAAATCATAGTAGTATACTACTAAATTATTAAAGTAAATAATTATCGTAACTTTTATCTAGAATGCGTTACGACTTGCATACGAAACACATTGCATACCTAACATTACGAAATAGATGAATTGCAAAATTAATATGCGACGTAAGAAGTAATGAAGTGTGAAGTAAACGAATTATAGCATAAAACTTGATAATACTAAAGCGTTACATTACAACGAAAAAGCTGCGAAAGATCTCAAAGAGTAACAGTATTGAACACAATATAACTATGGGTGGTCGCGGTTCGATGGAGATACATTTATGTAATCATACAATAATGCCACTCTTAATGATACCTATATTATTGTTGAGGGTGGTAAATTGACGAGTCGTTTGAGGCACGTATCAATGGTTACAGTTTTATATGAAGGATCACGGAATACAGTACACGATTTCATATCTTTTTTGTACCCTAAGCATTTTACAAAATCTTTTTGAAACATATTTGCGAATATTTTGTACCGTAGGTGTGTATACGACATTGCTTTCACCGAATCAACATGTTATAATCACGCTGAATGCTATGTTAATCGTTTTTGTTATTCTATTGTTTAACGTTTCATGTCTAAACAAAGTCTAATAATTCCCGCGGGAGTTATGCGGAAGAAGGTTCGTTATAGAATATTTCTAGCTTCATCTACTTTGGTTACGGTGAGAGAGAAACCAGTTAACGTGGAACCGATCAGTTCAGTTCAGATACTTTCACATTAGTACTAAGTTACGATTAGACGGTTGTAAGTTCTCTAATGATCAGTTATTATTTCTAAGAGCTACGCTTACCTTAGTGGAACTGGTTGAAAAGGGAACCGATGTGCTGGTGGGTGTGGGGCAATGATGGGTGCCGGTACCGGCGGTACGGGCACAGGACACACAGGGTGTACGGGAGGCAGCGTGCTGTATGGAGGTGGAGGCAGGGTCTCCTCTGGGGCCCGCGGAGCCCTGCTCCGGCGAGCACGCCGCCGTCGTGGTTCCTCAGTCTGGCACTCGGCACTGACGACATTCCTCTCGGCTTCCGTTTGCACGGCACTGTTTACATTTAATGGCGAAACTTGCACTATGTTCACATGACTGGGCTCGCCCGGTACGCGCACTGACACTGAGTCGGATTTTCGCAACGGAGCGGGCGCCGGCACTGGCAGCCGCATCTCTGGTAATATTGACAACGACGCGCGCGCATGACGACCGCCGTTCGGCGACTGGCATGCCTCGTCCCCCGCGATAAACCACACGCGCATAGGGCTGTTAAAAAAAATTAGTATTCATTTATACATGAAATAAAAGATTTACATAATAAAGAAATATAGCAGAGCACAAAATATAATATACGTTATGGTTTTACACGAAGCTTATTCATGATCCTTATCCTTTCCAAAATTAAGTTTAAAAAAAATTTAAACAACATGTTTAAATTTTTACACGGCAGAATTAAACAGCTGGAATAGACATGAAATTGTTCTGCTCTAAAACGATGTTCGATAATTATTAAGTATTACAGTTCATATACTTGTGATGTATATTCATTTGCGAACCCCTCGGGGGTGTTAGGTAAAAAAGGTGTTGACACTGTTAATTTTAATATCACAAGTTAAAAATAATAAAACATCTTAATTTCTATTCGAAGCTCGTAATGTATTTAATCATATTTCATACCTTTGACAGCCCTGAATTCCAGAGAGAGCGCCATCGGTTCGTGATCGCGCAAGAGGCGGAGAACGACAATCGTAGGGCTGCCACAGCAGAGAGGAAAGCGCCTCGGCGGCAGACAGCGGCGCGCTCATCTCGCCATGGCCGCTGCCCACACGCCGCTTCTACCTGCGCAGACAAAGAAAACATAACAACCAATATTATCAAAGAACTTGACGTGTTAAATCCGAGATTGTTTTGCACGTGATAGAAGTCTTGACTGAACAACAGTTAATACTACTAAAATCACAACTTACTAGATTAACCAAAATTAATTTAAAATAAACTAAAATAATTAAGTTTCAAATACAAAATATAATATTATATAGGACGACGTAGATATTTCCATATTTTTATTTTATATTATTCTATATTTTGACAATATTATTATACGTACTAGCCTTTTACTTTGATATCGACTAGAGAATTTCTTTTAGCACATTTAAGGTACCCAGTTCAAAAAGACACCTCATAGCCGATGCGAATATAAATGTCATTTTGTTAAACCTGTAAAGCCTTAAACAAGGCTTTTGCGTTTCAACTCAGGCCTGATAAATGGACAAAGATGCATGCATGATGCAACCACGCGAATGGTTTAGTTTTTGGCCGTTTAGCCACAAAAACTGGACAATTGTTATGCAATAGTCAATTGTCATAAGAATTCTTAGACTTATCTCTTATTCATAAAATAAATCATTCCAGTTGCACGGTTTAGCTATTCATACCTCTTTTTAATACAGCTACAACGTAATTTGAAAGAAAGAGACGGACTGGTTTTGTTTTTGTTTAGGTTGCTGTGTGAGGAGATTTTGATATATTTCTAGATCAAATTAAACAGTAGATAGAGCAAAGTTTGTATGCAGTTGAAATTCCGAAAACAGATTAGTGTTTTGCAACGTAATTGGCTGCGGTTAACTAATGGTGGAAGTTAGAATACATCAATGTCTGTTATCCAAGTCCGGTTACCTAATAGCTTTGTTGTTGAAAGACAAAAAGTTTGACAATATTGGTTAGTTGGTATTTGTATCTTAATACTACAAGCAGTGGCGTAACAATAGGGTGGCAGGGCTGGCAAAATGCCATGGGCCCCCGACCCAAGAGGGCCCCTGCCCAAGAGATATTATGTTCTATGGATGAATGTGAAGTCTCCAATAAAATCTCTTTATTAAAATTAAACGTGACGATTTTTACTGATAGGGCCCCATTAAACGATTTTTCCACCGAAGCCGTTTTAACCAGTTCTACATTTAGTAGTTGGAGAATACAATACTATTCCAAAACGCATCTAGGCTTAGGTATTAAAATGTGATACTTTATTGATAATATATAGTTAGTTGACAATATATCATTCTCATAAAATAGATACAGACTATTAAGACCTGTATAGTCTGTATCTATTTTATGATATCTAAACTAAAACCGTTTACTAAAGTGTTTGTTGATGAAGGATGTTGTGCACTTCCTGCAACCTATTGGAAGGATCCTCGAAGGCTCTGGTGTCGAGAAGTTGCACATATCCTTAGCGGCCGAAATAACTACGTTATAGCCTTTCAGGAAATTACATCATCAACTATATCACTCATGTATTCGACCTTATTTATTCTTGGTTCTGGAGCTACAACGAGCTTAGAGTACGCCGAGAATTCGCGCTTGTGATGTACTTAGTAAAATTGTTACATGGCAAGGATTATGAATACTGTAATCGCCTACTAGAGTGCCTTAGCTTTAAAGTGCCTGATGGGTACGTCAAATGGCGACATCGCGTCGCTACTTCATGTGCCCACACGGGCTACAGCTAGGACTAACCTTCTGAAAAGGGCACATATGATTAAATTATTTATAAATGTATTACATTAGTTAATTATTTACATTGTAACGGACTTTTTTAATTATCTGTTGAGTGAACTGACAAAAGTTGCATTATTTGTAAATGCCTATAGTAGTTAATTTTTTTAAATATCTTATGTAATTTTGTATTTCGTAATGAATTTCTTATGTTTGTTTTGTGTGCAATTTTTCATTTAAATGCATTGTTTTTGATTTAGGGACCTGTTAGGACTGGATTGTGTTTTTTATAAATAAAAATATCTATTTATTTTTGGTTATTAAATGCCTAAAAAACGTACAGCTTTTGTAAGACACCTATGAGCTAACGATTGTTTTATTTTGGTATTATCAACGCAATCTATATGGCAACGACTGTATCAGACGTGAGGTCAGCTTTAGAATCAGATAATAAAAGAAAGTCCAATGGGCTTCAAAAGGCGAACCGTACCTACTCGACGTGACGCATATTCACTTGTAAGACAAGATAACAATAGACGTAAGACAGTTCATGACTTTCTACATTTTTGATTTTTTTATACAGAACTGGACAGACGTTTGGCCACGATCCTACCTAATATTAAGTGAGATGCGGTTTTTTGGAGGGCACGCCAGGAGAGGCGTATTTAACCGCTTAAATGAACCCATATTAAATTAGGGAAGATGGAAGGAGGCAAGGTCCACTCCTTTGCCTTCAAGAAACGACGATTCAAATCGTGCGACACCTGGGGATCTCAACAACATAGGGGTAGAACCAGGTAGAACCTAGGGGCCAGAGTGCTTCTATATGAGCGTTGTTTGAGAAGGGATCACGGAATCAGGTTGTGTAGTTCCATGGAGCATTATCCGGAGTGCAATCTATAGAAGACTGACAGGCAGCCAACTGAACGGCGATGGTCAAGAAATCCCAACTCTTAAGAGATGGGAATCAACAAGTGAATGATTTGTTTAAAAGGTTATACCATAAGATGGAAATAACATTGCAGTTGTAGTGGAATTACCACTAAAACTACTGTTATGTTTGACCATCTGGGGCACAGTACTAGGTATCAGCGGTAGAACTCTGTAACCCTAATAGAGATATCATGGTCAAGGCGTTTTTGTATGCTTTCCATACAAAGAACTACATATTTTGTCTTGTCCATGGCGCTGTTATTGCGACGGTATCGCCTTTAGGAGTTACAGAGTACCAGTGCCAGTCTAAACATACAGTATACTTACTGGTAGTTAAACTAATGTCAATATTATCTATGGTTTAAACAAAGAGATTTAAAAAAACCTTTATACTTCTTACGAGTTTTATTACATTATTTACATTTGACGTTTCCTTTGTAGTTTTGTCAACAATCTGCCAAGTTGACAGAATATAACAATTTAATACTATCGATTAGCTTAAAATACAGAGTGATAATGAAACCAATTTTATGAGAGTTAAATTCAAAATAACAAATTTAACCCATTTTCAAGGAAATAACTTTCTTAATATTAAATCTGGTGTCTATTTACAAAACCATAAGCCGGCCTTCTTAAATCCTTTTTGTGCAAACACTCAGATGAATAAAGATTTACTCTCTCAGAACTTAATATAATGCAACGAAGCGGCTCTTGTTAAAATATTTTATCAAAGCGAAAAGCGTAATATCTTCTTTAATCTCACTAAAGTTTAAAAATATTGAAAAAGAAAATCATAAATCGTTTGTATTAAACGTATAGTACAATAAGATATCGAGAATTAATAATAATAGTGTCATTGCTAGTGTTTTAAAAAAGTAAAAATATTTGGTACTATTGCATATCTGGCTTGGTATTAGTAGTATTAGCCTGAAAAAAATCAGATGGTAGAAACAGAAGACGCAAAAGGTTCATGACGGGACACAAACGACTGATTGCGTGGCGGAGTGTAGAGAAAATTACCTGTTTCCGCATAGGATTGTTGGTTGTTATAGACAGCAATCCTTGCGTAAATGCAACATACGTTGAATGTATGTAAAGTATTTCCCTGCAAACGAAAGGCACAGATCAGCCTAACACATAAACTTCGTCATCTTCATTCTAAAGGAGATTCGTAGAAAAATCATTGATATCGTTTGCATTTAAGATCGGTTGGATTTAAGAATCAGGTTGATTACCCCAACCCTCTAGATACCTCAGGAATCCTATCATCCCATTTGTCCCTCCTTTCAGAAGAACGCGTTTTCGATATCCAGGTTGAACATTCTGATAAACGAGGTCTGGATATCCATAGTTGCTCCCTACACTTTGAAATCAATTTTAATTTAGATTTTATAATTTCTTTTTTGGTTTAATTTTTTTATCTCTTCGTGTTTGTTATATAGTATAGTAAATATTGTATTTTATTTTTCTCTTACCAGAGTATCAGCGTGCCGAGCGTTGGCAAGTTTTTATAAATAAATAAGTATGCTGCGGTTACATTCTTAATCGACTTACTCAATTATACAAAAACTCTTCATAAAAACATTGATCGAACTTACATAAAATTATAATAATTATGCTAATTATTTGTCATAATGTTGAGATCAGTGGGACACTTTGATCCGCGGTGAAACCTTCCACTTTCACCAAGGCCGAGTTGGCGCCGCTGCCCCTCCATCGTTATATCATGGAGTATATTGCGGGAGGCATAACTTTCCTTTTAATATCCTATTACGTTGGTTTTGTAATTATCCTATAATACTTTAATATAATCGGATTACATGGGGATATTGATGTTGAAATAACTGCTATACAAATTTCCTTAATCAAACTTTAGACTGAAGCCCAAAAGCTAGATTAGGGGTAAGGTTAGTAGTAGAGCTAGGCCCGACTTAAAATTTGAAATAGAAGTTAGAAAAAAACGACAAAACCTTCTTTGTTTCAACGCTAAACACCTTTATAGATAGGCATTATGTCTGTGACTGAATTAGTAAGATTCAGTCAAATCTTACAGAAGAGCTTTTGTTTATGTTGTTATTGTCACAATTGAAGAAGTGTAACACGCAAGAAGTGCATTTTCTGCTAAAACACTTGCTAACTTGTACATAACGTATTCTAATAAATCTATTGAAATTTTAATTACGAGTTTGGATATCAAAAACGAATTTATATCAACTATGACCAATATAACCAAAACATAGTAAACAGAATGATTAATTGAAAAAAATGAATAAGATTTTTACAAAAAATTTTTTTGCTATAGTATTTAATATTTACGCAATGCCCAAGGGTGCATATGAGGACCATTATTCGTAAGTTAAAATATGTGTATTAAATA